GAGTAACTGCAAAAGGAACAGCGATACAAATAATAGAAATCGTTACAGTTTGGTAACAATAACGTCTTTAATAACCGTTTTAACAATGTTACATGATCGTGCATTCCATAAGCCAATAATTAATTTTTCATACGAATTATGTGATTCAGTTACATGTGAAACAGCATCTCCACACCTGGTTTTTTTGGGCGTTATTTTTTTATCATACATTTACATACATCATGCGTATTTTGGAGTTTTGTTTAAAGCCAATTAATCGAATAGGAATAACAGCTGGTAAAATCTACTGCGTTAATTTACAAAAGTTGAAATAATGTTGCCTACTTTGTATTGAATATTGTTCGACTATACATAATTTATACTGGTTTTTTTACAGTTAAACTTGAAGAAAAATAAAACTTGGAAGTTTTGGGTTCACAAACAAGTAAACGACGGTATCAGCTAGACATTCCGTTCGATACATATGATAATTAAGCAGTTTCGTACTTGCCTTTTTCATATATGTATTCATTTATTTTTTTTGTTTATGCATGTATATATTTATTCTTGATATGAGAATTCGTTCGTATAAATAAGTATTTTGTAGTACATACGTCAAAATCAATGTACAGTTATAAACAATACAGCTACTTAAGGCTATCATTTGTTAATAATTTGGTATCTCGTCCATTAAAAATACTTTCTTTTCTAAGGTACATACATTATTTACTCTAAACAGTTTGAAATCTCGCTTATCTTATTTCACGACGCTCACAATGAATAATTTAGTCCAAAGTAAGATGGGGATATTGTGAATTTCTAGATTTTAGCTTGTCTTGTTTCAGTTTATGTTAATACGACTACAAAAAAGTGAATTGATACTTTTTGTCAAATCGTCGATAAGGCAACCTTAAAAGTTGCGTAAATTAAAACGGTATTGAAATAATAATAACATAATTTTTGATGTAAGGGTTTTGCTAAAATACTGTATTTTCATACATCCATTCAATGAGAGTCATCTAGTTATCATAAAATTAACAAAACGAAGCTTAAATTTTTATGCAACCATGGACAAATCATTATGTACAGGATAATTAGATCAATATTTTATCTAAAATCTAGAATAATTAAAACGTAGTAATACTAGTATAATACATATTAGGCTAATCATTCCTTTCGATGAAAATTCCAAATTCACGACTTAAGTAATAATTTTCAGTGCGTACGTGTATATGTATGTATATGTATCTGCTTCTCCGCGTACTGTAACTTTATGCTAGGTAGGTTATTTATTTACAAGAGAATAGAAGAAACTGGAACAACCATCGTGAATCTAGCCTCGCAGTCGAATGCAAGGCTAAAGATTCTTGCTTCGTCAATAAATAATGAATTTTTCATAAATTTTTACGATTACAATGATGAACAAGTATACGACTTGTAAGCGACTTTATTAATTGTTCCTCTTTTTGACAACCCTGAAAATTTAAGATACTTTCATGATACTTTCAATAGTTTTCGACAACACATGTTTTTTATCTTGTATTGTATGAGCGTTTTTAATTTGAATTTGATAAATTAAATCATCGATAGTTACACTGATTGACTTTAATTAGTTTTCTTCCTTTCACTTTCTTTCTCTCCAAAGTGTATTTACATGCAACAAAAAAAAACATTTTAACTGCGATTTTTTATTTGCTTCATGAATAAGGTGTAACATTATTTAAATTTCAATGCGAAAAAAGAATATTATACATCAATCTTATTTGTTATTAATAATTTTTTTATTTCTTTTTACCAACAGTATTGATATGAGTTTTCATAAATTACGCCAGCATGTACACATTTAAACTGAAATTCAACAAAATAATTAAATTATTAGAGACCAGCTCCGAATGAATTTTGCTATTAATTAACACCAAGTACCACGTTATTTTAGCAAGTTAAATGTGCCAATTGATTAGGTGATAAGTGACCCGATCTTTATAATTTTTCGATATCCTTTTTCACCGTGGGAAAAAGCTTGCTAATTTTCATAAAAATACAGCTTCACATTTTTCGATATGTATATTATATATTTATATTATATGTATGCGCTATATTTATACACATGTATGTAACTACGATGTGCTCAGAATGAATTGACTAGGGCAGAAAAATCAACTTCAAAAGATTTTCTTTTTTTTTCAGTTAACTATTCTAATAAACGATTTTAATACATAAATATTCTCTACATGTCTCTAACATTGCAAGGTCAGAGGCACAATATTTAAATTGCACACGTTGATCACTCGACGCACCAAACGTCTAATAGTAACTACATCAACGTAATAGAAATAATGCATCATACATCGTAATGGTATTTTTTGTAACACTTTATGCATGTATTCGTACTTTATTTTTCAAGACGAGTAGATGAGACATACGCATCAAGTTGATGTCGATCGATCCATCTCTACAGTAAACTTATTGAAGAATTCCCTAAACTTACGTCCCTAAACTTTATTTCCTTAAATCTAAGTTCGGCGATCGCGGAACGTTCCGCAATCCACCTGATATGTGTATCTTGGTTCAGCAGTTCAACGATGAAAAACAAAATATAATCGAAACCTAGGAGTCGCTAAGTACTCGTGTAGAGAGCTTGTTCGGCTCCCTGCTGCGTGGGAGTCGTGCAGCACATGTTGCGACGCGCTTTGTATTATATTTATACTTATAATTACGTTTCCTTATCAGTAAACTTTCACTTTATGTTAATTTATTATATTTGTTATTCATCACTGCTGTTCTCCCGGTCCTCAATACCGAAATTGTGATTTTTCAAAAACAGAATCACTATTGTGCAATCAGGATTTCTCATCACATCTATTTGGTCTGTCAGCTTGGTTATAAAAAAGTTTGAAACGTATATTGCTTTTTTTTTACGTAAGCAAAAATGACGAAGATAGAGCACATAATTGTGAAGGAGTTGAAGGGACCAATGATGTCAGCAATTCATGAAAGAATCTGATGTTGTTACCTTTTCCTGAACAATCATATTTATATGCTATCTTGGTTTTTTTTTTTTTTTTTTTTTTTTTTTTTTTTTTTTTTTTTTTTTTTTTTTTTTTTTTTTTTTTTTTTTTTTNCTCGGTATGAAAAATTCTCTTCCCTTAATAAAACTCCGATGGGGATTAGAAAACAGTTTTTAAATATAACTATTGATTTAAGCTTTATGAACATGTTTTTAGTTTTTTAACCTTTAAAAGACAAACCTATTCAATTTCATCATATTCTACGTTAAATACATATATGTACAAAACTTCTATAGGAACATGTGTACATCTGACGGCACAACAAATATTAATCAAGTTACTTTAGTGGTTCCGTAGGTTGACTCATAACAATGCACCTCCTCAATAGGGCAATACTTCCACAGTCAGTATTATTGTAGAACTAAGTGTTATTTCAGTTTATGTATGTATTTAATTATATTACTATCATGTCATACAAAGAAAATTTAAAAAAATAAAAATTTTTTGCATAGTTCATCGCAAATATCACCAAAAAAGCTTAGCGCACCAAGAACTTTATTCTTACATATAACTTAAAATAGAATTGATATAAATTTTTCTTATGATCTTACTCTTAGTCATTTAAACAACTTAATTATTACTATTCGTATGTATAAAGTCCATCTATTTGCATCCTAGGCGCTGTCAAAAAATATATAAAATTATATATTCAAAAGTAAGTATTCAAGTATGTATGAGATCGGTGAAGGGCAGAGGGTATCGTGATTAAAAAACAATGTAAATCAAAATAACGGAAACAACGTCCGCATGAATTTACCATGTTATATATATATGGTAAGGGTAGGTGTCAAGGTCTGTAAAGGTTTGTGGCATAGACATATAAGAAATATAGACTGCTCGTTCTTATGTACGGCGCTGAAGCATAAGTAAAAGTAGACACAACATCGAACGTCGGTATCTGTCTCTCTCGCACATTCCCACCTTTGGCAATGTGCGAGAGAGACAGATACCCACGTTCGGTGTTATATCTCCTTCTACTTGTGCTTCAGCGCCGTAAATAAGAACGAGCAGTATTTATTTTTTATATGTCTATGGTTTGTGGGGTGTCAGTAAGATTCCACAAAAATGGTGTGGGGAGCTGTGAGGGTAAAAAAAAATTCTGCGGGGGCAATGTGGGTATGTGAGAGGGCCTCTGGAGGCTGTGGGGGGTTGTGGAAGTGGTGGAGGGTCTGGAGAAACAGTAAGCTAAGCCATACCTATTACCTTATTTTTTGGGGGGTGATAAGGGTCAATAGGGGTCTGTAGGGGCTGTGGGGAGTATTAACTACACAGTATATAAAAATATATATACATCCATAAGTTTAATTAGGAAATTAAATTACAATTAAAGCAGGCAAATTTTCAAATACCTACTAAATGTCTTCACTATTTTCAGGTCACATTAATTTACGTCTATTTAACATCATAATTCTTAGTTAAAATTTTTAATTTAGCTGATAAAAACATCTCGCTTGAGCTTTTGACTTGAGATCGATCAAATCTCACACTTTAAGTAGAATAGGTCACTCTATGATCGGACGACTTTACGATCGGAAAATTTCACTCGCTCATACTTCACAACACTCAATGACCCTACTTTAACCTATTTCTGAAATATTTAAAATTTTGTAGAGTATTTTTCCGTTAGTGTGACAATGAACATCTAGCTTTTTTTAAATTTTACCATAAAAAATTGGCACCGCTCGCTGTTTCCTACTCGGTAAGCTCCACAACTTTTTGGCTGAATGATATTTCAGCGGCGTTCCCCGAATGGGACCCGTGTCACACGTCTATTTTGAGCAAACCCCACTCTCGGAGTGACACATATAACAATCCCAATCAATAATCTCGCGCATGCAGTAACGTATCAAATGGGCCAAGAAAGAGGAAATCGAGGTATGAGAAGCAAAATGAGAAAAAAAAATTGTTGTATCGTAATGAAGTCAGTAGGAAGCCGATCAAACGGTGACTTACCAGAGTTGTTGACGAACTTCTGTCTGAGGGAAGTGGCGAGGCGCTGCGGACCCGCGAGGGTCGGAAGGCCTGCTAGGAGTCCGCTCAGCTTGGCGGCTACGTCCGGTGGCTGCGGCTCTTCTTCCCTCGAGTCGTTCTCCGACTCCTTAGCGTCTCTCGAGCCCAGGCCCTCCACCTTTTCAGCCGAGTCCTCTACCGAGCCTGCAACCATGCAACAACGGCACACCGTGTACTTTTAACAACGAATTCCTTTGTTCGTTTGCTTATTTATACGTCACAACTTTAACGTGGGACTAGTATTGGGAAATCCCATTGCTCCCAAGCAACAAAAATACAAAGTTGAATTTTTTAACAAAGGTGGTCTGTGCGATTTAGGGTTTTACTGTGAGTTCAACGGAGACAGAATAATTATAAAGCAAAAGATGTGTTCTGCGTTGCAGGATATCGCTAGAGATCACGAGACAGTTTCTCTTAATCGGTTGCATAATGCTTCATGGCATTGCGCCTAAGGATCCTTTGACACAGTCATAATGTGCTTCAACTCAAAGCAACGAGAATAATATTTAGAAAAAAAATTTTTTGTAGGTATCCTTCAGTTGGGTAGTTCCACTTCGAAAAAATTGACCATGAGCCCCGGAATGATGGCGGCCATCATGCATCTCGAGGATTGCGCCATTTTCTTTCGTGGCGCAAGCACTCTCTTGTGATAATAACGATTCGTGATAACGTCTTTGGTAAAGGCTAAAGTTTTCTCGGAAAAAAAGTCAGTCGATTTGCATGCACCTCAACAATCTACCACACTCGATTTTGATGGAAGAAATACACCCTTTCGTTATCGCGCAGGTGCGCTTATGTAATCTCGCTTTTTTAGTTTCCTTTGCCAATAAATCACACTTTGGACATCAAAACGACGTATTGAAAAAAATAAATAAATGGAAAAAACAGCTGGAACAGTAACACACTAACACTTGCGCGTACAGACGAGGCTGTATCTATGTATAAACATGAAACTCCGACTGGAATAAATATAACCGCGGTACATAGGTATATAAGCAGCGCGTGACCGAGAGAGCCTTAACTTTCGTAGCCACACTGGCGTGCAGGACCATAAGATAATAACCAAGACTGCAGTCCCGAGAAAGGGGCCATCGTCACCTCCTCTGTTAGTCCAGTGAAAATAGAAACAGAAGGCAAGTCTGCGGAAGAAAATAATACATTGTCTAGCCAGTGGGTAATACCGCAGATCTGCTCGTACAGAAATATCTCGTGGATAAACTTTGAACGTTGGCACCGTTGGACTTCTCATCGTTTACTCAACTTCGGCCTAATTGTCCGTGCTTCGCGTTTTTACCTTTCATTGATCACACATGGAAGAAATTTTGTACCATGAATTGGTTATCGAGGCTGTGGATTGTTACCATTGTTGTTACACACACGTAGATCTCGTTTCTTTTATTTCGCTTTGTAGGGGAAAAATTTTTAAGTACAACATATACGTTAGCTGTCGACATTTAAAAATACATTTACAAAGAGTTCTGCTTCAAAGTGACGTCAACCAAGTCGGACGCTCTACTCGAAACGAGCGATCAATACGCGTTGCGGAGAAGATGTTTTCCAAGCGGCAGGTGCAGGTGCCAACTCGCGATCCTTCGAGGCTCAACGATTCCCCGAAAACAAGACGCGTCTCCAAATCGATTTTTCGGGCTACTCGTTCTCGTCGTGGCTCAAGGCGCGCGCGAGGGCCGCGAGCATTGAAATCCCACATGCAGTCACGCGAAAGCGCGACCAGTGCCGCTGCCCGCACCAATCTGCACAACCCCAGGACGCACTTGAAGACAACTTTTTGATCGCTTTTACGATCGCTCCGAGCGCACGCTTTGACTGACTCGCACCTGCGGATTTCCGCTTCCTGGTTGTGGTAACTTGATCGTTTTGACACGGTGTTCTCTGTCAAGGTGAGTCGATGGATACTAGTCGAGTAAGTCGTCCGTCTTTAACAGTGGGACAGGATCAAAACTACCCGTTAAATCAGGACAGGGGGGAGGTGCGTAAAAAAATGAACAAAGAGTGCATTACACAAATGGAAATGTGTAAAAAAAAAGAGCAGGTAGTGAGGCAAGATGCGTGGGTACTTACGCAGACCAAAGGGCTCCTGATGAGCAGGGGCGTCTCACTAAGGCTTGGACGTGTGTGTCTCACCTTTGAGGTTGCTTTCGAGCGTCTGCCCTCGCAGTCCTCCCCGCCACTATCCCCAGGAAGTCTCCCCACCACGTTTCTGTCTCTCCCCCTCTCTCTCCTTGGTGACGAGCATCACCCCCACTCCGACAGGGGTGGCAAGTGACGAGCAAGCAAGTGTGGGAGAAAGGGAGTCACTCCGAGGGGCGCAGCCGCGCGCGATCCCCAGGATCCGAGAAAGGGGGCAGAAAGGGAGGGGTGCGGTCCTCCTCATCAAAGCTGGCCGACTTTTCGCAAAAAGGTGGGTGATGGAGCAAAAGGGAGAGAGGAGGAGAGAGCGCTACAAGGGGGTGGCGGATGATGGCAGAGAGAGAGAGAGGGAGATAGAGAGGAACCAGGTACGCACGTCCACGGTCGATGCTGCACGGTATTTCTGGCACCAGGTCGATAGCTTGGCTGGCCTCACCTGCGTACGAGCGCGAGTGAGGTGAAAAAAGGAGACGGGAATAGAAACACATAGGTACCTACGTGTAGCAGCAACCCATTCGACCTCGGCTGAGCTTACCGAGTGTGTGCTTGTACAATGTATGCTCGCTCGAGGGTGTGTGCATGTACGTGACGTCTGCGGGGTACCTACTGCTGCATGCTATCGTCGACGGAGATTCGCTCTTTTCGGTGTACATCACTACAGCCTGAGCATACACTACATTGATGCTTAGGCATACATTTGCCCAGCAGTATTGTGTCGTAAGTACATGTCTGTACCCCCTCCCCACCTCTTGCTGCCAAGCCCTCTGACGGACCGTCTTTTTGTTATTTATTTAGTCGCGACATGGGGAGTTGTGTGCGGCTAACAAGTCATAGCCACATACGCTAAAGACGCTTGTATGTACTGGAGCCTTGACTGGTTTGCTTATAAGTATATGGCCATTTGATGCTATACTGCCTTAGTTTTTCTTGGATTTTGTTTGACTTTACTTTTTATAGTACTATTTACATTTTCTGGCATCAATTTTCATTGTCGCAATTTTTGATGAATCAGTGGCTTCAATGCTGAAATTTAAAAAATCCAAGTAAGCCTAATTGTATGAAACAATATTCTTCAAACTATTATCTTTCTGTTAATAATAAAAAGGGTCATGTCATTGCGAGAATTTTCGAGAAATCTCTCTCTGTAACAAAGGTGTACGTTTAACGTAAATCTTATAAGAATGCGACCCTAGAAAATCATACAATCTGCGGACAAACGTATATGAGTAATTTGTCTTGTCTATTGAAAACTATATGTCTATAGTTTTTTCACATGGTTTACGATGATGAAAGATAAAAATTGTATGGTAACAAACAAGATCTTGAAATATTTAATTTTAAAGTTTGTCATAATCGGATACCCAGGTATAACAGGGCTTCGATATACGTCACGAGCTGACCGCTTGTATAACCCAGAAATAGACATATTATTAATGTTGCATAGCGTATACATATATTATACTGCACTAAAGTCACTTTATCTCTTTATGGGTAATTTCATCATATGTATTAAAACTTTTGAGTTTTTTGAATTCTTATGAAATAAAATTGGTACTCGCGTGAATTTATAAAAAGGATTAAAATAATCATAGACTGGATTTGATTTCAAATTTTCCGTAAGTTAACTGAACTTGAATTCAACTTTGAAATTTACTGTGCGTTTCATATTCATTACCGTCTTTTTCTAATTGAGAATTTTTATTCTAAAGAAAAAAGTTTTCAATGCACATGATACTAGGCTACCATATATTTAAGTCCCGATCAAAATTTTATAATTTAAGAATATTTAAGAAACAATCAACCATTAAGTAAAATGAAGAAATTTTTTCTGATCCTTATTGCTCATAAAATCATAACAATAAAAATTAATTTTAAATAAAAAAAACCTAAACGCAAAACTCTTGCACAATGATACATTACACTATCATGTTAAGTATTTTAATGCACTCCTGATTTTTCCTCTTTTTTACTTTACCTTTAATCCTTACTTAAAAACTTCCTTCTTTGATGTTTTTTTCTGTTGTTGTTTTGTTAGTCAGTCTTGTAAATACTTATGATTTTCAATACATTTCAAGTATATAATTATATTAGATTTCATACTCAAGTATTGAAGTATTTTTAAGATACTTTTTCACCATTAGCACTTTTTTTTCTTCCTCGACATTTTTTATTCCTTATACCCCTTATTTCTAATATTCATTATATATGATTGTCAGTTTTATTGTATTATTGTACTACTATTGACAAGTAACGCTCTTAAAGGCAACATAATTACAATTCTGATATGGTATTATTTTTTTATATCATAATATCTGGGGTATGAAAGTAACTACCATTGGGATCATTAATGCTAAAACTCTAAATATTCATTATTGTATCGATGTTCGAATGTCTCTTGCTGTAAGTTTTTGTATTCGTTGTTGTTTTAAAATGTTTTCGAAGAATAAGATGAATAAAAATAATTTTTTTCCCATCCTCACTAAAAATTTATTTTCTGTGCCAGTACAACGTAACCTTGGAAGTTTAAAGTTCAGTAAAACAAAATTTCAAGCAAGTGTTTTCAAAAAAATGTCGTACGCACCACGGCCGTAAAGTAAACTCGTCATCGCTTGTATGACTGAATTCTGGCCGAGCCCAAGGTAAGGAGTTGTATACCATTTTTTCATGGAGCTTAAAACTATTTTTTTTTTTTTTTTTTTTTTTAATTTCCATTAAACAGTTTAACTAAAAAAACTGTATCAAAAGTGTATTATTGGAAATCCATATTTGTATGCAATTTATTTCGATACGAATTCTAGAAAAATATTGATTCATTATTCCTTGATTTTTTAGGCAATAAAAAATATATTTACATAGAAAATGTATTCCTGCTATATGAGACAGTTCTTGCTCAGAATACGAGCGATAATAAGGAACTGTTTGCGTGTATCTTTCATTTTTATAACTTTCTTAGATCCTGATATTCTTTCCATGGTAATATAAGGAGCATTCTTCAATCCCATTCTTCTTCAACATTTAATAATATACTCGGTATGAAAAATTCTCTTCCCTTAATAAAACTCCGATGGGGATTAGAAAACAGTTTTTAAATATAACTATTGATTTAAGCTTTATGAACATGTTTTTAGTTTTTTAACCTTTAAAAGACAAACCTATTCAATTTCATCATATTCTACGTTAAATACATATATGTACAAAACTTCTATAGGAACATGTGTACATCTGACGGCACAACAAATATTAATCAAGTTACTTTAGTGGTTCCGTAGGTTGACTCATAACAATGCACCTCCTCAATAGGGCAATACTTCCACAGTCAGTATTATTGTAGAACTAAGTGTTATTTCAGTTTATGTATGTATTTAATTATATTACTATCATGNTTTTTATTTTTCTCGAGAAAAAAAAGCCCAAAGCTTATTTGTATTCTGTACGACGGACCAAATAGATTTTTTATGAGCAATTTTAATTAAAGCAATAATTACATTTCCATCTAGAAACTATTCACATTATAAAACAAACTTTCTCAAAAATAAGTTTTAACAAAATTATTCCGAAAAATTAATAAGAACTTTTTTGTGCACCCATTTTTTCAAATTTTTCTACTCTATTTTTTGTCAACTTAAAGTACTGAGAGGAAAAATGAGGAACAGTTTTTGTACAACTGCTTATACTTACGATTTTTTAAAAAAACTTTTTTTTAGGAGAACAACAATGATTCACAAATCAAATGCACACAAGTGCTTCAGCACATGGGATACACTCGATCATTTTGTATACGATCAATTTTTGTTAATATGTAACAACAATAATAACCTCGTACTGATCACACACAAACACTGTTGTTTCTGTAACACATCCCGTACATTTCTTTATTTTTGCACTAGTTCCTTCGTACACAGGAAATTGGTATGGATAATGATCAGACGTTAGAAGCACGCAGTTTAATGAAGAATGAATCAATATTCAATTCTAATGATGACGATTTTGGAAGCGAAAAAATAGTTTACAATTGCTTTGTTGCAACGTGACTTTTATGACCGATTTGGTTTTTGCCTAAAATACTTCTTTTATCCTCCGCAATTCGTTCAGACGTTCTTCACTTCTCGGCCATGGCATGCAATTATTTTGTTCTACCTCATTTTAAGCGACACGTACGAGCTTCACCATTTTAACAAACCCTACCTCATGTTTAAAATTTTTCATCACTGGAAGCCTGCCGTGAAGACAATAGTCTATAACTTCAACCAATCACAGTCATCAACTAAATTACTTAAATATAACTTTCACTTTTTTGTGTATATAATTATAATCTGGCTTTGTTTTTAGATCCGTTTTAAAACATCCCTTGCCTGAAAGGATTACTTTCTCCTCCTCCAGCCGCCCTTTGATCCGTCTGTTGATCGCTTCTAAATGGATTTGGATTAGCTGACCTAACATTCTGCTGATAACCCGTTTGTTGTCCATAGTAAGGTCCTTGTTGTGTCCCTTGTTGAGTAGGCTGTTGAATGCCTTGCTGCACTCCAGACTGCATTTGATCATATCCACTGATATTTTGTTGATACTGTTGCCCTTGTTGATCATAGCTAAGAGCACCACCACTTTGATTTGGCTGAGCTTGACCTTGGTAAGCGTAGCCATCTCCGTAGCTTTGGTAATTACCATCCTGATCTACGTTCGTTTCCATTCTCGTTTGAGACGTAAGATGGTTGCCAACTTCACCCGAAACTGGCCTCTGCTCCTGCAGTACGTACGTTTGATATTCCTTGTTCGGTGGATCTTGCATAAGAATATTAGCTTCATCTTGGAATGGCTTGAAGTCGTAAATGTATCTGAGATTCATTAGAACTGGTGCATAAAGCAGATTGAGGAAGGCAATCAAAAAATTCAGAGCTGTAAAGCCAATAGCTTCAACAATTCCGCCAGCAATAATTGGGCCAATTGCATACGCTAAGCTGTAGCTGATATCTGCGATAGCGTAAATGCTTCCATAAACTGATACATAGCGGACATCTACCAAGTAACCCAATGTGGGGAGTAAAGCTGTATCAATAAGAGCAATGCCAAAACAAATTCCACAAATCGGAATCATGAGAAATTTATATGAAGTTGAAAAGGGTATGATAAAACAACAGAGTCCTTCGAGGGCTAACCCAGCAGCAGCCATGAGCCATTGGTGCTGTGGATACTGTTTCGCCATTTTAACCGTTATAACTACTCCAAAAACGTGCGGGAAAAAAGCGGGAAGCCAAATCATGCCCATCTTCCAATTATCGTGTGTTATGTGATCCTCCATCCAGAGAGAAATAGTTGGTTCCAAAAAGGCAAGAGCTACGTTTGACATCATGAGAGCGCCAGCGCACACGGCAATGTACGGGTCAATCAAGAGTCGCCAGATAGGAGTTGTTGGTTGTGCTTCTCTACGACTTTCCGTAATTTGCTCTTTAATAGGTTTCATCACAAGTAGTAACATAAGACCGTCTGCCAAGCTAACGAATGCAAGAATCAGAAATGGTACTTCCTTGCCAGCAAATTGGTATAGAGCCCCACCAAATGGGGGAGCTACGAGACTTCCAAAACTAATGAAAGCCAAAGCAATACCAAGGGCCTTAGAACGCTCATTTTCTTCAGTAAATCGATCAGCAATCATGGCTAATCCAGATGTATCGGCGAACGCAGAACCAACACCCTGCAAACTTCTTGCGAAAAATAGGACACCATAGCTTCGGCCACATGCAAAAACTGCAGTTGACAGAAACATGATGGTAAGGCCAATCATCATGGGAAGGTCATAACCTATCCTATCTATTAAGGAACCTGAAAATGGATTAACCATGAGCTGAACAATTGCTTTTGATGCAAACAAAATTCCTGTCGCCGAGTCTTGCCCGTGATGCGATGGTGCTCCTGTACTATTACCAGCGGGCTTATCATCATCAAATGTTCCAATATATTTCAAGTAGTCTGGGATGATAGGTACTATGACCATGTATAACATGTTGTCCAATAGTAGAGCAATACATACAATAACCAAAATGAGTTTTCGTTGCATGCCTGGTTCTTGTGACTTCTCCCATAATATATCCTTTACCTCCCCGAGTTCAAGTTCCAAAACCGGGATTTTTATTTTAGAAGCCATGTTGATTGCTTTTATTCAGAAATTTTCAAGAGTCACTGATAATAATTTCTTGACCAGTGGATTCGATGTTCACGAAGATGTTTTATTAAATTTTCTTCTTGCTTAAACCGAAGTCATTTTATTTGTCCTTGAATATAATCACCCGATTGAGTAAAAATAATGCTTGAGTTACTAGCTGTGTACAAAATGTTCTTTTCTCGAAAAAATTTGAACTGTATTTTAAAGGCTTGAATAGTATATCTTATGTCTTTTCAAATTAGAGCTAATTTATTGACTGCCGATAAAAAGAGAAGTTCTTGACAACATCTAAAAATGTCGGCCAATGATCTATTGCTACTTGCTGTTGATTTGACGTCGGGTGTTGAGTTGGCAGTAGTTGAGACGATGCGCATCAGGCCGAGCCAGGGGAGACCTACAACAGTAAATTATTTCTCTTAAAAAAATTTATGAAAAATATCAAAAACTTTAAAAATGATTCAAAGGTTTCGTAACAAAAGTTGTTTTAGGGGGAGCCCTAGCCCGGCCTGAGAAGCGCAACCACCTCGTTTTGGGTTGCCTTACATTGATGTTTTAGAAATTAAAAAACTACAACAAAATATTATTGATCTCTTTCGAAAATATTAATTTTTTTTATTGCTTAAATTAACATTAGTCAAGTGTTTCAGAAAATGTGACGATGTTGACTTGGGCATTTTCTGTCATGAATGAATGTACAACATTGGTAAACGAAAACATGAGTATTTGCTTAGTTATGTGGTGCTGAATGAGGGGTCACTTAATAACTATTGTAATTGTAGAAAGTTTTTTGAAATAATTTTTATCATTCATATTAATTAAAACTTTTACTAATATTTTTCAATGCTTTAGCTATATAGTAATTTATGATTGTTTAGGCACTTGAGTCAACATATAAGAATCATTATGAATCACATAACTATATTATGAGACAATTCGGTCATTCAATATTGAGCAATAAAGATACGGTACTAATGTAACCGAGTCTATACCTATGTGTGTCCCTTGTACTTTTGCTAAATATAGCTCTACTTCGTATGGAGACTTGTCTAAAGAAGCCAGTCTATAGATCTGAGTTCGATGCGTAGGAAAACGGCATATAAAGAGAACAATTACTATTATTGTCGGTGTCATGCAGATTTAATTTTAAATAACCTGCTCAAGTTGTACAAGGATTCGTAAAAACGTTTGACATTCATATTCATTAGATTAAAAAGAAAATGATGTTGAATAACTGTTGTATACAATGATGCAAATATACCGAACTTGATCAATAAAATCAATTTTTGTAGAGATCTTACATAAGTCGAACATATATTATTGTAATTATTACATCTTATCAATAAAAACGAAACGTATCATGTGTAGGCTCACGTACCGTAGTAACTTGATGATAAATTATTTTGAAAAATTTTATGAAAAAAAGAAAAGTTTTATTAACTTGATTAATTCTTAGTTAAAATTTTTAATTTAGCTGATAAAAACATCTCGCTTGAGCTTTTGACTTGAGATCGATCAAATCTCACACTTTAAGTAGAATAGGTCACTCTATGATCGGACGACTTTACGATCGGAAAATTTCACTCGCTCATACTTCACAACACTCAATGACCCTACTTTAACCTATTTCTGAAATATTTAAAATTTTGTAGAGTATTTTTCCGTTAGTGTGACAATGAACATCTAGCTTTTTTTAAATTTTACCATAAAAAATTGGCACCGCTCGCTGTTTCCTACTCGGTAAGCTCCACAACTTTTTGGCTGAATGATATTTCAGCGGCGTTCCCCGAATGGGACCCGTGTCACACGTCTATTTTGAGCAAACCCCACTCTCGGAGTGACACATATAACAATCCCAATCAATAATCTCGCGCATGCAGTAACGTATCAAATGGGCCAAGAAAGAGGAAATCGAGGTATGAGAAGCAAAATGAGAAAAAAAAATTGTTGTATCGTAATGAAGTCAGTAGGAAGCCGATCAAACGGTGACTTACCAGAGTTGTTGACGAACTTCTGTCTGAGGGAAGTGGCGAGGCGCTGCGGACCCGCGAGGGTCGGAAGGCCTGCTAGGAGTCCGCTCAGCTTGGCGGCTACGTCCGGTGGCTGCGGCTCTTCTTCCCTCGAGTCGTTCTCCGACTCCTTAGCGTCTCTCGAGCCCAGGCCCTCCACCTTTTCAGCCGAGTCCTCTACCGAGCCTGCAACCATGCAACAACGGCACACCGTGTACTTTTAACAACGAATTCCTTTGTTCGTTTGCTTATTTATACGTCACAACTTTAACGTGGGACTAGTATTGGGAAATCCCATTGCTCCCAAGCAACAAAAATACAAAGTTGAATTTTTTAACAAAGGTGGTCTGTGCGATTTAGGGTTTTACTGTGAGTTCAACGGAGACAGAATAATTATAAAGCAAAAGATGTGTTCTGCGTTGCAGGATATCGCTAGAGATCACGAGACAGTTTCTCTTAATCGGTTGCATAATGCTTCATGGCATTGCGCCTAAGGATCCTTTGACACAGTCATAATGTGCTTCAACTCAAAGCAACGAGAATAATATTTAGAAAAAAAATTTTTTGTAGGTATCCTTCAGTTGGGTAGTTCCACTTCGAAAAAATTGACCATGAGCCCCGGAATGATGGCGGCCATCATGCATCTCGAGGATTGCGCCATTTTCTTTCGTGGCGCAAGCACTCTCTTGTGATAATAACGATTCGTGATAACGTCTTTGGTAAAGGCTAAAGTTTTCTCGGAAAAAAAGTCAGTCGATTTGCATGCACCTCAACAATCTACCACACTCGATTTTGATGGAAGAAATACACCCTTTCGTTATCGCGCAGGTGCGCTTATGTAATCTCGCTTTTTTAGTTTCCTTTGCCAATAAATCACACTTTGGACATCAAAACGACGTATTGAAAAAAATAAATAAATGGAAAAAACAGCTGGAACAGTAACACACTAACACTTGCGCGTACAGACGAGGCTGTATCTATGTATAAACATGAAACTCCGACTGGAATAAATATAACCGCGGTACATAGGTATATAAGCAGCGCGTGACCGAGAGAGCCTTAACTTTCGTAGCCACACTGGCGTGCAGGACCATAAGATAATAACCAAGACTGCAGTCCCGAGAAAGGGGCCATCGTCACCTCCTCTGTTAGTCCAGTGAAAATAGAAACAGAAGGCAAGTCTGCGGAAGAAAATAATACATTGTCTAGCCAGTGGGTAATACCGCAGATCTGCTCGTACAGAAATATCTCGTGGATAAACTTTGAACGTTGGCACCGTTGGACTTCTCATCGTTTACTCAACTTCGGCCTAATTGTCCGTGCTTCGCGTTTTTACCTTTCATTGATCACACATGGAAGAAATTTTGTACCATGAATTGGTTATCGAGGCTGTGGATTGTTACCATTGTTGTTACACACACGTAGATCTCGTTTCTTTTATTTCGCTTTGTAGGGGAAAAATTTTTAAGTACAACATATACGTTAGCTGTCGACATTTAAAAATACATTTACAAAGAGTTCTGCTTCAAAGTGACGTCAACCAAGTCGGACGCTCTACTCGAAACGAGCGATCAATACGCGTTGCGGAGAAGATGTTTTCCAAGCGGCAGGTGCAGGTGCCAACTCGCGATCCTTCGAGGCTCAACGATTCCCCGAAAACAAGACGCGTCTCCAAATCGATTTTTCGGGCTACTCGTTCTCGTCGTGGCTCAAGGCGCGCGCGAGGGCCGCGAGCATTGAAATCCCACATGCAGTCACGCGAAAGCGCGACCAGTGCCGCTGCCCGCACCAATCTGCACAACCCCAGGACGCACTTGAAGACAACTTTTTGATCGCTTTTACGATCGCTCCGAGCGCACGCTTTGACTGACTCGCACCTGCGGATTTCCGCTTCCTGGTTGTGGTAACTTGATCGTTTTGACACGGTGTTCTCTGTCAAGGTGAGTCGATGGATACTAGTCGAGTAAGTCGTCCGTCTTTAACAGTGGGACAGGATCAAAACTACCCGTTAAATCAGGACAGGGGGGAGGTGCGTAAAAAAATGAACAAAGAGTGCATTACACAAATGGAAATGTGTAAAAAAAAAGAGCAGGTAGTGAGGCAAGATGCGTGGGTACTTACGCAGACCAAAGGGCTCCTGATGAGCAGGGGCGTCTCACTAAGGCTTGGACGTGTGTGTCTCACCTTTGAGGTTGCTTTCGAGCGTCTGCCCTCGCAGTCCTCCCCGCCACTATCCCCAGGAAGTCTCCCCACCACGTTTCTGTCTCTCCCCCTCTCTCTCCTTGGTGACGAGCATCACCCCCACTCCGACAGGGGTGGCAAGTGACGAGCAAGCAAGTGTGGGAGAAAGGGAGTCACTCCGAGGGGCGCAGCCGCGCGCGATCCCCAGGATCCGAGAAAGGGGGCAGAAAGGGAGGGGTGCGGTCCTCCTCATCAAAGCTGGCCGACTTTTCGCAAAAAGGTGGGTGATGGAGCAAAAGGGAGAGAGGAGGAGAGAGCGCTACAAGGGGGTGGCGGATGATGGCAGAGAGAGAGAGAGGGAGATAGAGAGGAACCAGGTACGCACGTCCACGGTCGATGCTGCACGGTATTTCTGGCACCAGGTCGATAGCTTGGCTGGCCTCACCTGCGTACGAGCGCGAGTGAGGTGAAAAAAGGAGACGGGAATAGAAACACATAGGTACCTACGTGTAGCAGCAACCCATTCGACCTCGGCTGAGCTTACCGAGTGTGTGCTTGTACAATGTATGCTCGCTCGAGGGTGTGTGCATGTACGTGACGTCTGCGGGGTACCTACTGCTGCATGCTATCGTCGACGGAGATTCGCTCTTTTCGGTGTACATCACTACAGCCTGAGCATACACTACATTGATGCTTAGGCATACATTTGCCCAGCAGTATTGTGTCGTAAGTACATGTCTGTACCCCCTCCCCACCTCTTGCTGCCAAGCCCTCTGACGGACCGTCTTTTTGTTATTTATTTAGTCGCGACATGGGGAGTTGTGTGCGGCTAACAAGTCATAGCCACATACGCTAAAGACGCTTGTATGTACTGGAGCCTTGACTGGTTTGCTTATAAGTATATGGCCATTTGATGCTATACTGCCTTAGTTTTTCTTGGATTTTGTTTGACTTTACTTTTTATAGTACTATTTACATTTTCTGGCATCAATTTTCATTGTCGCAATTTTTGATGAATCAGTGGCTTCAATGCTGAAATTTAAAAAATCCAAGTAAGCCTAATTGTATGAAACAATATTCTTCAAACTATTATCTTTCTGTTAATAATAAAAAGGGTCATGTCATTGCGAGAATTTTCGAGAAATCTCTCTCTGTAACAAAGGTGTACGTTTAACGTAAATCTTATAAGAATGCGACCCTAGAAAATCATACAATCTGCGGACAAACGTATATGAGTAATTTGTCTTGTCTATTGAAAACTATATGTCTATAGTTTTTTCACATGGTTTACGATGATGAAAGATAAAAATTGTATGGTAACAAACAAGATCTTGAAATATTTAATTTTAAAGTTTGTCATAATCGGATACCCAGGTATAACAGGGCTTCGATATACGTCACGAGCTGACCGCTTGTATAACCCAGAAATAGACATATTATTAATGTTGCATAGCGTATACATATATTATACTGCACTAAAGTCACTTTATCTCTTTATGGGTAATTTCATCATATGTATTAAAACTTTTGAGTTTTTTGAATTCTTATGAAATAAAATTGGTACTCGCGTGAATTTATAAAAAGGATTAAAATAATCATAGACTGGATTTGATTTCAAATTTTCCGTAAGTTAACTGAACTTGAATTCAACTTTGAAATTTACTGTGCGTTTCATATTCATTACCGTCTTTTTCTAATTGAGAATTTTTATTCTAAAGAAAAAAGTTTTCAATGCACATGATACTAGGCTACCATATATTTAAGTCCCGATCAAAATTTTATAATTTAAGAATATTTAAGAAACAATCAACCATTAAGTAAAATGAAGAAATTTTTTCTGATCCTTATTGCTCATAAAATCATAACAATAAAAATTAATTTTAAATAAAAAAAACCTAAACGCAAAACTCTTGCACAATGATACATTACACTATCATGTTAAGTATTTTAATGCACTCCTGATTTTTCCTCTTTTTTACTTTACCTTTAATCCTTACTTAAAAACTTCCTTCTTTGATGTTTTTTTCTGTTGTTGTTTTGTTAGTCAGTCTTGTAAATACTTATGATTTTCAATACATTTCAAGTATATAATTATATTAGATTTCATACTCAAGTATTGAAGTATTTTTAAGATACTTTTTCACCATTAGCACTTTTTTTTCTTCCTCGACATTTTTTATTCCTTATACCCCTTATTTCTAATATTCATTATATATGATTGTCAGTTTTATTGTATTATTGTACTACTATTGACAAGTAACGCTCTTAAAGGCAACATAATTACAATTCTGATATGGTATTATTTTTTTATATCATAATATCTGGGGTATGAAAGTAACTACCATTGGGATCATTAATGCTAAAACTCTAAATATTCATTATTGTATCGATGTTCGAATGTCTCTTGCTGTAAGTTTTTGTATTCGTTGTTGTTTTAAAATGTTTTCGAAGAATAAGATGAATAAAAATAATTTTTTTCCCATCCTCACTAAAAATTTATTTTCTGTGCCAGTACAACGTAACCTTGGAAGTTTAAAGTTCAGTAAAACAAAATTTCAAGCAAGTGTTTTCAAAAAAATGTCGTACGCACCACGGCCGTAAAGTAAACTCGTCATCGCTTGTATGACTGAATTCTGGCCGAGCCCAAGGTAAGGAGTTGTATACCATTTTTTCATGGAGCTTAAAACTATTTTTTTTTTTTTTTTTTTTTTTTTTTTTTTTTTTTTTTTTTTTTTTT